ACCCCTATAACTTCTAAATTTTTAGGCTTTTGGAACTATAATATAACTTCTTCATACCTGCAGCTATTTTAGAGGAAGTTCCAAAACATTTCTTAAGGAGTGTATTAACTAATTTCTTTTGACTTTAAATCTCATAAGAATCCTAAACCTCATGATATAAGGGATTGTTTCGAGGAACGAGGGCTATGATACTAATTGTAATGACCTATTTTCTTTGTTGAGATATGAACGTTATTCCACACACATAACCTGATAAATTTATACAACAACAAGCAAAAACTTAAGATTCAATCATCTCTTATACATAATTTTAAATCATGAGGCTTATAAAATTCTTTACATTACATCACTATAATATAATTAAACCGACTTTACAATACAAAACTCTCACTGTCACTAAAGATTATTCAAAATCTTTCCTCGACCTTGAACTTGTTCTTTATCTAGATTAATATGCACTGTGGGGGGGGGGGGGGGGGGGGTGTGAATTAAAGTGAGTTTCACGGACTCAATAAAAAAGAGGGGCAGTGCCCAAAGTAAAAACATGCACACACTTAATCACACAAGATTTACAAATAAATGTATATTTTCTTTAAAACCAATTCTTAAGCAATATGATAACAACAATATCACAAATCTCAAAAATTCCCTCATTCACACATGTTCCCAAACATCACGAATATTCTAACATCACCTTCATATAAACAAAGAATTTCACAATAATATCATTCATTGATTTTGTAACACTTGCACTTACACATGTCATCAAATCACTTATCATTATACATGTCAATGTCACTTATCACTTTTCAGTTACTCTTTTATTTTCAGTTATATTTTCATTAAGGTTAACAATTACCATTTTTACATCTTTTAAGAGTTTCATCACGTGACGTTGTTTCCGTCAGCATCAACAAAGGCACTAAGGATCTCCTCTACCATGCGGATACATCACTTATTACTTGTTACTTATCATTTATTATTTTTTCAATGCACCCGAACACGGAACCGCTATGCATTAGGTATCACTTATCACTTTTCATATACACTCGAACACAGAACAGTTATGTATGAGACTTTCCAACCACGTCTGGCTGAGACCGTATCTACATGTAGGGTTCACCATACTTCATTTGCCAAAATAGCTACACACATCCTTCCCTCATTGATACTGGTTAACATATTTTTACATCTTTTAAGTATCCTTTTATTATTATTTTGTAAATCAATTTCATCACTCTAATACCTACAACACACATTCAACAACTTGTTTACCTATATTTAATGTAAGATGCACCACATAGTAACTCTGCACTATTTTCTTGCACAAATAAACATCATTTATCCATAACTATATACCTATATGCAAACACTCATAAACCTGTGATTTTATATACATGCATATCCACAACGTACATTCACCTAAGTATCAAATTGTATATAATACCTTTATAGTACGTACAATGTATATATATATATATAAATGCACAAATACAAGTCAATAAGCTGACATGCATAAGACCTGTGTGTACACATCAGTAGCAATATGCATACATAATTGTAAATTATACACAATATCTTATAATTCTCCAGTCACATGCGGTTTTATGCGCGCACATTATGAGTTCATGGAAATCACAATAGAAAACTTAAATAATCTATGAGGTCCGTAAATAAATTAAAAAATAAAGTTTTATAAAAATATGAGTGTTTCTGAATGAGACTAACACAATCCCTTACATACAGTCAAATCAAAAAGTGTTAGAATCCTTATTGGTCCGGGTTTATGCTCTCCTCTAAATCCGACATTTTTATGCTCTCTGAGTTTATGGCATTGTTTTGATGCTCTTAAATCGATGTTGGTTTGATGTCCTTCCCTTTTTATTTTTTTTATATAAAAAAGACGTCGTTTTGGCTTTTCCGTATTCTAAGAAGTGGATGGATTTGATTTTATTTTTTTCAGGCCGGAGTGTTACATTAAATATTTTATGCTTAATCTCCCTCGTTCTCTTTACAGTAGAAGGAAAAGAATCTATAAACATTTTATGTTTTTAACCCTTTATTCTCTTTGCAATATTAAAAGATGAAAATAAAGTGTATATATATATATATATATATATGTTAATGACCAAAAAGAAAATATTGCCATTACTTTTTATGAGTGAAAAGAAAAGCAACTATAATTATTTTAATATAATAATAATAATAAAATAGTTCATATTATAATTTTATCTTTAACTTTTTTAAAATTAAATAAAATTAATTAAGTGGAAATGTGTTTGTTATAATTGGCTAATACGGAGTTAATTATCCCAATTAAAAAGCCGAAAAAAAAAAAGAAATCATTTTATATAATAATTTCTATTAATATCTTAATAAACAAATACCCCCTAAATAATATTTACACGTATAGATCATCCTTTGCAATTTACCAAGTGTTTTAGTTTATTTTAATTTTTCATTCAATATTATTTAACAACAGCCAACACACTTCTGTCTTTTATTAGGATAGTGATCAACAGTTGTGTATTTCTTTAATTAATTTTAGTATTCAATATACAGACGTGTAAAGTATATGTACGAGTTTGACAATTAACCAAAAAAAGATTTAGTATATTATTTTATTTCTGTTAATACTAATATTTTCACATAAAAATTATAAACAAATTAATACTTTATGTACCTAATTATAAGCAATTCAATGTCTTTCTAAATAAACATTTATTAATAAGTTCATGTTAAATTAAAATTTATTTATTTTTATAATAATGGTTTTTTTTATAGATAATTAAATATATATTTAAACTCTAAATGAGACATATAAATAGTTAAAAATATATTGAAAAAAAGAAAATTAAAAATAATGGGTTTTACTTTTTAATAATATAATTTCGTTAGTTTTATTTTTTTTATTACATTTTAACTTATTATTTTTTTATTTTCATAATATAATTCTCTAACAGTAATATTTAATATTAAAAATATATCTGTAATTTGAGTCCAAAACAACTTTATCCTACTCATTAGGAAACTGAAACAATAAAAAAAAAAAGAACAATGAAGAGAAGAAAATTATACTGAAACAAGCACTTGATCATCTTGTGGTTCTTTCTCTTTAACTGTAATAAAAAGACTATTTATCAACTGGCTTAAAAAAAAATGGTGAAAATCGATTCAAAAGACTGAAAATCTTGATGTGATGTCGGTCAGTTTGATTTCTGGTGGATTGAAAACAACGCTGAGGTGGTTGAGGAAATTCATGAGGCAATAATGAAATCTTAAGCCCTGTAAATAGGAATGTTGAGTTGATCTTTTTTGCGATTTCATAAAATGTTATTGCTTCTTACTTTTCTCAAAGTATTCTACTACTTTTTTAATCTTTTATTTAATGGAATAATTATAGAGTCATCTTGTTTCAGTTTCCTGTTTTATTTTTCAAGTCTGTATTATATTTTTTATAATATAAGATTTTTCCCTACTGTCTGGTACAACTACAGTTTTCACTTCTAGAAACATAATAACAATTTCCCACTAATAAGTACAAATGTAGTTTAAATAAACTCAAAACCAAAGTTAGAAAATCATTTACTACAGTAGTAATAATAACGGATATGCTCTTTTTATGTTTCCTATATTCTTACTTCAAGCATGTTTATTAATAAGTATATACACACAATTCTCCATAAGCTCATCGCAGCACCCCAATGAGACCAAGCAGATGGTCCCGGGCAGATTCGCTATCACCTATTGAACTCACGTGCGTTCTATCACCCACTAAAAATTTGCTAACCATTCTGAAAAGAATCAAATAAACTCGAATTACTCCGCCACCTGCCCCAACATATTGTAGTACGAATCCTTCAACTCCCGCCAGACAACCACTATACTAGAGCCATATATATTCATTCTCCAATTCAATTTCGGCTTTCCAATTTCTTCCCTTCTTCTGGCTATACAGATCAGTCAATTCATCATCCATCAATTCTCATGAACTCTAAAAGTGGTAAATCCTTCTGAGTGCATTCTTAATTTCTCACTTTATAGGAAAGTGAGCAAACATTTAATCCACCCCTTTACTACTAACACCAGTGTGAATGTGTAAACAAAACAACAAAAGACCAGCAGGTAACAGCCTCATTTGGAGCTCAATGTAATAGAATTCTTCATATCATGTCCATATCATATAACAAAGAAAATTTCTCTAAAACATTTCAACATCAAAACCAAGAAAATTAAAATGCAGTGAACACATTCCAGAACTAGGTTGATAGAATTGTTTTGAAAACTAATTATGAGCACAGTCCTATTACTCATCAGCAAAACATCAAAACTACTCACTCATTCCTCGTCCTCTTCATCTCCATCACCACCAGCAGCCTTCTTGGCAGCTGCTCTCATGTTCTTTCTCTTCACCCTTCCAGGGCGCCCACCACCAAATGGACTAGTGAGTGAGAAATCAATATGCTTCTGTGAATCAATCCTCACCAGAAAAGATGGGACGTTCACAACCTGTCTCCCAACCCTGCCAACCCAAGAGAAATCAATGTATCAAGAAAAAACTTATCTTTTGTAGAAAATAGTAATTTCAGACACCAAGGCAAACTCAGAAGCCCATATTTCAGAGGAGGAATCACATAAAAAAATCAGCGTAATTCACAGGTTGATTGTTGTAGACAGAAACCATTCCTCACAGAAATTATACCAAGGATTAAAAATTAAAAAAAAAAAAAGAAAAAAACTCTTATCGTGGATGATTTTTTCGTGAAAAGATAA